TTTTTTTGCTGTCTACTGTCAAAAATCGAACACCGCTCTTTCTCTCAATATCTCTTAATTTCATCACGTAAAATTCTCGAAAAAAGAAAAAAAAAGTGATTCACAAGAAAATGTTTATAGTTGATCCGATCGCGACTTAACCCTCTGCGCTGGCAACTGTTTCGCGGACCATAACGAGTGACCGAACCGTATATACAATAATTCGTTGTATTCTTCTTCTTTTGACCTCGTCGGTATGATATCACTGGATAGATATTATTAAGAAGTAGTACAATAGTTGCATTGAAATGTACCTCAAACTGAGAAAATGTTGCAATTTGGGTCAAAAAAATTCACGTCATTCCAGCGTAACGACCATGTAACAAATAGAGGATCGGTACTTGGGATCGAGATGATATCGAGATTTCACGTGGCGTTCGATCTCCGGTGCGTCATCGCAACGCAAAACGAAATGGCGTTTCCTCGCTTTAGCGCTCTTTCGTCCAAGTACCGAGCGAGTTCGACCGTCGTACCGTCGACAGACCTCGGTAAAAGCAGAACTATATCGCGATCAGGATATACCGCGCGCGCACGGCCTGTGTTTATGGAAATGTGTGCGTGCGCACCGTCCGTAAAGGATCGGCGAGCGTGTGTTATTAAGGTGTTCAGTTAGCCGGCACACGCCTCGACGGATGGCAGACTGGTGCACCTGTTTCAGCAAAAGGATCTGGTCCGACCACCTTTACCCTTCGATTTTCTCCTTCTCTCTCGTTCGCTTCCTAACCCGCTGTTTCATCCACTGATCTCTCTTTCTCTCTCTCTCTCTCTCTCTCTCTCTCTCTCTCTCTCTCTCTCTCTCGGTCTGTCTCGATCAAAATTCAATGAGATCGATCGCGACGGATCGCATTAGCCGAGAGGCCAAGAAGAGCTCGCTCGAGAAATTAGGTTTCCGCGCGCGCGCCGTTCTCGATCACAGAGAGGAACACACAGAGAGAGAGAGAGAGAGAGACGAGCCGGATTCGTTTTTGCCTTTGCAAAAAGTTCTCCACCAGGTTCTCCCTCTCAATACCGCGACAACGAGCTCGCGTTCCCCGCCACGATGTTTCATCGACGTATCGTGCACAACGCTTCGTGATTCGAATGGAATTCCTACAGGCATCTCGATACGTCTCTCGATCCATCGCGATTTAGTCGCTCGCGGAGAATGTGTAACGAGTCCCCTCCCACCGTGTCACTTGCATCATCTTGCACAGATCTGTCGTATTCGAACGGTGTACGCGTCCTTGTAGAATACAAGGGCGACGAGGATGGCTCTCTATGCACGGGAGTGAAATATATATATTCATATATATATAGACATACACGATAGTCCCCAGTTAACCTATCCGAGACGAAGAATTATTTTAAAGACGGTCCCCTAGGAGCGAAAAATTTTTTACCAAGTTTTATTTTATGTCAAAATCGATCTTATCTTCACTAACGACTAATAACTCAATAATAAAATCACACGTCTCTGTGTAATCTTGAATGTTAGGCGTCTATTTAGTTCGGAATCGAAAGAGGATGATGTGAATGATGAACAAAGAGCGAGGACGAGCGTCAACTGTTGTATACCGATATCAGACAGTTACTACGAACTTCAGTACTGTTTACTAGATTATTTCATTCCAAAGAAATTTAACGTTTCAACATCCGATTTGTTGACATTTCAAATTTAATAGCTGCATACTTTTCAACTAAAACGAAGCGATAAATTACAACAAAACGCAATAATTATCAAACGATTGTAATTAATCTAAATTTGTCGAGTGTTTATCGAAATTCGAACGTTAAGTAATTGTTAATTGATAATTATTGAATGAAAACCTTGAATAAAGGTCGTGTTACATTTTCATCAATGTTCAATTAACGACACACG